GGAGAAGAAGAGGAGGACCAGCAACGAGGGGGGTGGTCTCCATTACAGAAGCAATGAGTACATATTAGAAGTCCTGAAAGACCAGGTTCGGGATAGATCGTCATAGAGAAAATCTATGCGGTCGCTAGGAGTCGAAAAACAACCTGACAGCATATAACTCATTATTGCAAAGAAGCATCTAATCTACAGAACTGGGGCAGGAACTACACAAGAGTCCCTTCGGTGGGCGTGTTGGACCAATTTTCCCTTTGCAGAATTGCAACCCTCCGTCCTTCCGTTCGGTGCGTTTGATTTTTTTTTAATTCATTACATTCTTTTCTTGACCACTGACCCCGTGGATCAAATGGAAATTGGGGTTAGGGTTAGGGTTAGGTTAGGGTTGCCTGTTCTCTCGTTGAATTCGGTAACTGGTTTCCCCAGCTAATCTGATCAGTGTGATGTGGCCTATAAGAAAACTATTCTGCTTGATTTTCCTCTTCGGATGCAGCATGCAACTTTGTACATAGTACCCAGAAGCCGCTAGTGTGCCCGCATTAAAGACCTCAGTGGATCCACATTGTCAAGAAGCCCTGTAGATGCTTAGAACATGGAAAGAGGTTCAGCCATAGCTTAAGCCTTGCCTTCCACATCACGTGGAAGGGAAACGCTTTCAATGTCTGGAACGTGGAACCTTCAAGTGCATCAACTTGGGGGAGATGGGCGGCATACAAATTAAATAAATAAATAAATAAATAAATAACTAGCTAACTCCAGACTGGGGAGAAGCCCTTCAAACGTTCAGAATGTGGAAGGACATTCGGGGCCACACACACCTGAAAAGACATCGAAGGATTCACACAGGGGAGAGGTCCTCTAAACATTGTGAATGTGCACAGACACACATCACACCATAAAAGACATCGGGGAATTTGCACAGGCCGTTTGCTCATGGATTGCTCCACATGTGGAAGGAACTGCCATCATGACAAAAGTTCTTTCAGAGGTTACTTTTCCATCCCATTGGGGTGGAATTCAAGCCCTCACTCAGCTTCCCTCTGCAGTATTTTTTTCCCCACTAGGTTCCTGGGCCTTTCAAATGGTCCTTTGGAGGCTTGTGCTTGGAGGGTCCCAGAATCTCCTTTAGAAAAACATTGCTCTCCGTGGGCTGCAGAGCCATGGCATTTCACAGATTTCTCATTCTCTCCTGTGAGTTCTTGTCTGTCCTTCAAGGTAGGCCAGACTAGGAAACCAAAGTTATGAATGCTAATGCTACTTTTATTGTAAGGTTATAGTACCAGAATCTTGCAAGTCTGAATGGACTTTCCCCCTCCCTCACTATATCTTTGTGAGAACCAGAGAGAGTCTTGACTGAGACTCTCAGGTTACAGTTTTGGTCCAGACTCAGATTTCTTTTATCTTGGTAGTGGCTCTTCCTCCTATTCCTCAAGGTTATTCCTTCTACCCATTACAGTTCCCCACAAATATGGAGTGCATTGCAGAAGTGTGTTGGTAGGAATCAACTAATGGAAACTGCTTGGTTGTAATATTTATTATTTAGCTCATAGATTTATAAGCCCTAAAACTTTTAGAGCATCTGTCCTCCCCTGGCATTTTGAAGATGCATTAGTGTTTGGCTAAGGAGGATGGGGGTTGTGGTCCAACCCTTGCAGGACACAAAATGGCAGGGGTGCCACTTTAAGGCAAGGGATATAGCTACCCGCCAGCTTAGCTTGATGATGAGACAGGAGCAAATTCCACACCAAAGGACATCTGAAAATGCAAAAGAGGTGGGCCTAACGTGCACACTCATTTTGTTTTCATGTTCGCCTCCAATACACACATTTTGCAGGACAAGCATCTGCTCAACCTGTTTAGCTGAAGGCCAGGTGTAAGCAGGGAATCCTAGGTAGCAAAGTCTCTTGCGACCCGCTCTGCACCGGGGATTGCTGCTTGCAGCCTGCCTCCTCAGTTACCATCTTGCCTTTTTTGACCACCCTTCCCATTGTTGGTGCTGCCAACCTTGAAATAGGACTCATGCATTAATTGCCAAAAACTGGTAAGCGCAGCCATTTCTAAAAGCTGGGTATCAAAACAGAAGAGTGAATGGAGGAAGTGAAAGCAGCAGGAATAGTGGGGGATTGGGGGTCTCTGTGGGGAGGGTCAAAAAGTCAAGATGGCAGGTGCAATTGCACGATGGAAGCCCTACCCCAGGGTTCCTCCGCCTCAGCAACTTTTAGATGGGTGGACTTCAACGCCCATGGCTGGCTGGGGAATTCTGTGAGTTGAAGTCCACCCATCTTAAAGTTGCTGAGGTTGAGGAACCCTGCCCTATCCTTTATAATATGTCACCTGCATAGAAAATGGGAGGGGCTTAAATCACATGTTTGCCTCTGGCATCTAGACTTTTTTGACAGCCTCCATGGACAGCCCTGGGGTGAGTGACCCTGTAATGCTGAAGCTTTGGATGCGAAGAGAAACTGAAGTTGAGTGTATTTGAAGAATGCCAGGTTTCAAAAAAGGCAGATTTTAATTAACTCAGAGCCAAGGTAAGTAACATTTCACAGCAAGGCAAGGAATGCTCAAAGGAGCTCAAGATGGGGGAGAGTTTCTAAAAGAAGGGGGAGATGCTAAAAGAAACTTGCAAGCATTTCTAGTAAGGGGGGGAGGGGAAAGGAAGACAGCAGAAGATACCAAGGTTAACCACACAAGAAACTTAGTGGAGATTTGAAAACAAGAAAAAGCTTTGTAGGTGGTAGAAAGGATGGCAGGTCAGCAAGGGAGAGAGCATGAAATAAAGGGAGCCCCAAAGTGGAAAGAAGTTAGCAGGAAAGTGAATGCTCAGAATACCTAAGGCAGTGTTGTCCAAACTTGACCGCTTTAAGATGAGTGGGCTTCAACTCCCAGAATTCCCCAGCCAGCATGGCTGGCTAGGGAATTCTGGGAGTTGAAGTCCACTCATCTTAAAGCGGCCAAGTTTGGACAACACTGCGCTAAGGAGAGTAATTCATCAGGTATGCTGAAAAGGAAGGGAAGAGAAATCAGGATATCATCTGCTCAGTGAAAATGGGAAAATGTTAAGGAAGAAAAGGCAGAACTATTCAATCCCTACTTTGCTCGTCTCCGTCTTCTCCAACAAGAGTGCATGGGTTTGCTTATATTTATTTATTTATTAAATTTATATGCCACCCGTCTCCCCCAGAGAGTGACTCTGGGTGGCTCACAATTAAAAGCAAACATCAAAAACGGTAAAAAATATAAATATCCATATTAAATTAGCTAAAAGCAATCATACTATATAAAAAGACTACATACATAAAAAGTCTATAAACCTCAAGATGACGGGGGGGGGGGTAGAATCAATTACCCACGAGCCAATTCCAACGATGCAAACCCCCATCAGGCCCCCAGGCCATCTGGCATAGCCAGGATTTCATACTCTTCCTGAAGGCCATGAGAGTGGGGGCTCACCACACTTCCAGTTGTTCCACAGGGCAGGGGCCACGGCAGAAAAGGCCATCTTCCTAGACCCCGCCAGTCGGAATTCCTTGGCTGGTGGGGTCTGCAACATGCCCCTTCTGCCAGACCGAGTGGGGCTGGCTGATATAACAGGGGCGAGACAGCTCCTCAGATAACCTGGTCCTGTGCCATGAAGGTCTTTAAAGGTGATAACCAACACCTTGAATTGGGCCCAGAAGCAAACCAGCAACCAATGCAGCTTGTGTAACAACCAAGTTGTTCCCCCAAGTCATCGTGAAGGGCAGGATCAAAGATTGAAACAGACAGAAGGCCAAGGATTGCCTATTTATTTGGAAGAGTTTAAATCTTCAGGGACATATGAATTGCCTCCTATGGTGTTGAAGGAGCCTGCTGGTGTTTTTAGCTGAAGTGTTCTGAGATATCCTAGAGAACAGGGAAAATGTTGGAGAAAAAGACCCCCACCCTGATTGACAGCTGCCAAGTCTGCTCTCTTGAGACACCACATATTGTTCAAGATGCTTGTTGCTTAAGTTGCTGTAGATAGAAATACATTATTGGAATCTAGGAAGCTCATAAAAAACAGGGAAGTACAAACTTGAAAGTGCTGAAGCATGCTTTCCATTGCTAAGAATAATTTGGCCAGGGAGTTGCTTCAACTGCTTAAGGATGTACAGATGGGGACTATATAAAGCATTGCCTACATGTTGAAGGTTGGCAGAAGCTTGAATTCTCCTCTTGCACAGTATTTTGATAAAACTTAATTCACAGTTAAGAGTGTGGTCTTCACTTACTCTTTTGAGGGGCTGTGGAACTTTTCCCCTACACAGGAGACGTGGCAGAAGACTCTTGTCCTCTCCACGTACATGGTATGGCCTTCCCATTCTGCTTAATCACCAGTCCACAGAGACCCTTACCTCCAGCCACCAAATGTCCTGCCCTAGCTGAGGACATATCTGCAGACATATCTGGTGGACTCCCCAGATGTTCACAGCCACAGCAGTCCTGACATGATGGAACCAAATCTTGACTTGCCAAGACAACTCAAGTGCTCCTCAGCTTGGACTCAGTGACCCAGATCCTGGTCTGAAAACTCCTCAACTGGGACTTAGTGACCCAGATCCTGGTCTGGAAGCTCCTCAACTTGGACTCGGTGACCCAGATCCTGGTCTGGAAGCTCCTCAACTTGGACTCGGTGACCCAGATCCTGGTCTGAAAGCTCCTCAGCTTGGACTCAGTGACCCAGATCCTGGTCTGGAAGCTCCTCAACTTGGACTTAGTGACCCAGATCCTGGTCTGGAAGTTAGACCACCCAGCCCTTGGGAAAAATATGAACTCAGGATGCAGTGTGGAAGAGCAGGCTGCTTAGCACAATTGCAGGCCCCTGTGCTGTCTTCTTCCCCTCCCATTTGAGCCTTCTCCCCAGCATCAGTACCGCAGAGTTGCCAATAAAGCTGCAACCCTAACACGGCTGTGGGAGGAGAACAGAGGAGATGTGTGTTTTGGAAGCTCTGCAGCCTCCAGGAAACACAGTTCAGCGGCCAAACGAAAGAACGCTTTTTTCCTTCGGAAGGAGTGGATGGTCCAAAAGAGAGGAAAAGAGGTGTAGCAATGCAGCAAGACAAAGCACAGTGTAAAAAAGGTGCAAGAGCTCTACATGCTAGCCATTAATAGAAATAGGAGAAGAAATCTCAGAGGGAGGGGGCTTAAGACAGAGCAGAAAGAAAGAAAGAAATGTTGATGCATACTTGTAATAGTATAGAGCATAGTATATAGGTAATAGAGTAAAAGGCAGTAGAATAATAGGTAATAGTAATTGAATAGTAATAGTATAGAGCAGTGTTTCTCAACCTTGGCAACTTTAAGAGGAGTGGACTTCAACACCCAGAATTCCCCAACCAGCAGGAATTAGGACTGTAGTCCTAACGTACCAGGAGAACATCAACTTGAAGCCACCTACTTTATCTAAAACGAAACCAAAATAAATGTAATGCATTCCCTATTTTTTTCTTCCCTTGGCAGGCCAGAAGGCTTGGCAGGCCAGAAATATGAGGTTGGCTGTAGGTTCTGGCTGGAGAAATGATGGGCTGCTGCAGAAGCATGGATAACTCTCAGCTGTGCCTCGGGAGGAGGCTCAGCCTAAAATATTTAAACCTTCCTTGGACTTGAAAGGATCTGAAATCTCTTTTCCGGTTGTAGCTTGGTTCATTGTGTTTTCCTCAAGTTTCTACTGTTCAGTGCCTTGCGTGTTGCTGTTGAGTTTTATAGCCTGTCTTGGCTGTATTATGTGTAATTAGCCTTAATGGCCACCTACAGAAAAGCCAGGAAATCATCCGCAGAAGGAAGGGAAGAAAAAAGTAGGGAATGCATTACATTTATTTTGGTTTCGTTTTAGATAAAGTAGGTGGCTTCAAGTTGATGTTCTCCTGGTACGTTAGGACTACAGTTGTTGGGTTTCCCAGATGCTGGCCCTGCTTGCAGGAATTCTGGACATCTCATTCCCAGCTTGTCTAGAAAGTACTCAGTTGGGGTAGATTTCAAGGGCAAAGAGATTATAGAATTCACTTCCTGAAATACATGACTCCTGGCCAAGAATTCAAGGCATGCAATACCTACCACAGTAGCCTGGTTGCTCCTGAAAAATGTTTTAAAATAAAAATTCTGCAGGGTGATGATATCTTTATTAGGTTGTAGAAGAGTGAAGTCACCCCCTGGAGACAGCAGGCATTTTTTTCCTTCCTGGGATCCAGCATTTGGTGCTACCAAAAGGAAAGAGGGTTAAAACAGCCCCACCCTCTCCTTCATGGGAGAGTTTGTTTTATAAAATGGGTATTGAAAGCAAGCATGTGGGTGGGTGTGTCAAGAAAGGAATTAAACCAGGAAGACAGCAGAGACTCAGGAAAGAAACAGTAGTCTTCGGAAAGTAAGAGAAAACTTCAATTCTGGAAGCTGCAAGACCACTGAGAGATGGGGGAGGAAGAGAGCCCAACCAGAGTCTGCAAAATCAAGGAAGCCTGCAAACCAAACAGAACCTGATGCTGTTGGGGGGGCTGAGCTGGCTTTCATGCCTCAGGGAGGGCTAGAACTGGTTCTCCCCACTCCTAGTCTAGCACTTTCACCCCTTGACCTTCTTAGGTCTTGGGCTGAGAGGGGGGACTGGGCCCAAGTCCCCCAAGGAACTTCTGTGCCTGAGGGGGGACTAGAACCTGGGTCTCCCCACTCCTAATCCAGTTCCTTCCCCACTACACCACCCTGGCTCTTGAGCTGAGAGGGGGGACTGGCCTGAAGCCCCCCAGAGAGCTACCATGGTTGAGAAGGTACTAGAACCTGGATCTCCCCACTCCTGGTCCAGCACCTTCACCACCGGATGTAAATCTAATGAATCAATTTTAATGTTTTAAGGGATTCATGGGCAGGTCTGTCAAGGGAGAAGAGTTTTGAAAAGTAAGTATTAGTTTCAGGTTGGGGGCAGCCAGCCTTCAAATACAGGTTGTAGGGCAGCAACCGTGGAAGGGGATTTCATCACCCTGTGAGAAAGAAAATGCTGGACCGGGATGGTCCATGACCTGACCTAGCAGGCCTGTTCTCATGTTCTTTGCTGGACCCTAAAGAAACAGTCGCTGATGTTAAATAAACAGGGGGAAAAATACTAGGGAGTGCTGTGCTTTTCTTATCGGTTGGGGAAAAAAAACCATTTGATTCAATCGCGGAACTCTTTATTGTTCAAAGACAAGTACGTTACACAAGATACTAGCAAAGCAGAACAAACAAGTTCTGAACTGTTGACTTTAATGTTAACAGAAAAGGTCAAAAGGAAGATTGGAAACTGGGCAGCAAAAATAGGCAGTAGATTTCAAAATGGGAAACGTCTCTTGTGACCTCGATGATTTGCAGAGCTGAAACGTACATATCGATACGTTAAACAAAGGTAAGAAAACTGCTGTTGTTTAATAAGGCATTTTTTTGTCATTTCTGTTTATAGTATAGATTTTTGGTATGCATAAGACACAAACCTTTTAATGTTTAAGATCCATAGGAGAAGTTTGAGCTGGTTTTTTTTAAAAAAACAACAACTTTGGAATAAGTTTTTCACTCTGAGGTTTTTGTTTCAAACCTCAAATTCTGAAGAGTTTACGCTCCAGACCAGAAATGATCCTCCAATACTGTCCAGCAACTTGTATAGGAGTGGTTTTCTTTTCCATAGCCTGAAACTTTCCATTAATATAATTTGTGAATTCTGACCTTTTCACACATTCTTTCTTGATTTGTATGGTCTACCAGTTTAGGCACCTGCTTCAATGTTCATCCAATCCCCCCCTCTTTTCTAGTCTGGTGACATAAAGCTTCCATTTTCAACCTCTCCATGCTAAATTAACCCATTGTGAATTTTAATTACCAAGAGAGTTTCAAATCCATGCTTTACATTTCTGGCTTGTACTTCCCTAAACCATTGTGCTAACTATAGAGACTTGCTTTGAACAAAACAATTTGGTTTGAACAAAACAATTAACTATGATTTGTTGAAATCGGATCTTCTCCTGCCAGCCACCCTGGAGAAGAAGAGGGAGGGCCAAGCAAGCATGCTAGATTGAGGCTTGTCTATGACACTAAACCAGTGTTGTCCAAACTTGGCCACTTTAAGATGAGTGGACTTCAACTCCCAG